GTTCCTTTACGTACTTTGGCTGTAATGAAGGGCCGGTGGGTAGTGTGCACAGTCCAGCAGTTAAGAAGTGAAGGAGTTAATGAAATTGAAGAGTTGAACAGTTAATGAACTGGTAGCATGTATCAGCTACTTCTACACTCATGTACATGTTTATAAGAGTTATATACATCCTGGAGGGCTTATTACTCAGTCAAAAATGAAAACTTCAGGAAGTAGAGGACAGGCAAAAGAATTTCAATTACAACATAGTCAGAGATGACAGTTAGAAAAATAGTACAAAACTGAACTTCACAGTGAGGAGGGTAATAATCTTGTCACGCATGAGCAAAGAGAACTATAGGAAAATAAACCATCAAGTTCTAGTCAGCTTCATTAGGATAACATAGCAAGTGTGAGTAGAACTGAGACATGATTCGCAGCATTGTGAGCTGAAGTTAAATACACATAATGAAGCACCATAAATGCTTTGTCTTAGCTATCTGCCTTGAGAATTGTCTATAAGAAGTACATGATGAGGTGGAGTTCTTCCAACTGCACACAGTCTGGAATCACCTGGGAATGGAATCTCAGTGAGGGATTATCTGGGTCAGATTAGCCTGTGGGCATGCCTGGGAGGGACTGATTTCATTATATTAACTGAAATATCCACTATGGGCAACACCATTCCCTGCATTTGGGTCCTGGACTGTGTAACACAGGGAGGTGGCTGAACACAAATAAGTAGACATGCCTTTTCCTCCCACTATGTGATGTGACTAGCCTCTTCAAGCTCCTACCTGTATGCTTTTCCCACAAGGATGGACTACATGACCTGGAACTGTAAGCTAAAATGAACCCTTTCTCCTGTAAGTTGCTTTTGGTCAGGCAATTTTATTGCAGCAACAGAAATGAAAGCAAAACTCAGACCATACATTAGGGGTCAGCCCAGTCATGGCATCTGGTGAGCAGCATCAGCTCAGCTCACCAGCACAGCACGTGGTTTCAGACTGCCAACATCTTCCTGCTGAGTGAACTTCTTATTCCATTGGATGCAAACATGGACTCTGAATCCCGGGAGAGGCATTTTCTTATATTTTGTCTTTTTTATAGCAATCTCCAGCTTATCACATAGGCAGATATTTAGTATAGTAGGCTGACTTTGAAACACGCTGTGTATAAAACACGCCAGAAGTGGGGAATGGACACCTCAACTTTATTCTGCTTTGCCCGTAACATTGTTGCAGCTTGTCAAAAGGGGCTCTGGTGGTCTATTCTAATCCTCAGTTAGATCTTCCTGGGGAATTTTTATAGTTGACATTCCTCTTACATCCCTTCACAACATTGCCAGGGATCATGTAAAGAAAGTGCTCTTGACTTTTAGGAGATGATTTCGTCACATAAGTAAAAGTATGAAGTCGACACAAAGTTGAACTTCACCAGGGCAGGGTTTTGCTTTTCAGGGTAGGAAATGGAAAAAAAAGAAATGGTGGCCCTATGGCAGGAGTGGTGGCCATAAAGGCTCATAAAACTGAGCCATGTGTGGGCCTGAGAGGTGGGGAGAGATGATAAGGACAGTGGCTTGGAGCCACCAGTGGGAATTGAAAGAAAGAGAGGAGACGAGGCCAGTGGCACAGTAAGCTGGAAATTCCGATTGTTAGAGGAAAAACGTCATGGGTGGTGACGGGTTCTGGGGAGACCCTGGAGCAAGTGGCTCAGGTGGGGTTGAAAAGAGATCACGGGCTATGAACAAGGAAGGCACTAAGGAACCCATGTCGCAGGCACCATTTTTTATATTGCAATTGAATTTCCCTCAAACAGATGTCAAAATAAGGGAGAAAAGGAGGATATGAATGTGGTGGACTACTTCCTACAGTTTTCCAATGGTAGGAGTTGATAGGTCAACTGTACCATGAGAAGGGTAGGTCATGGTAGGTTCTGGATGCACTTAAAAAATCAATATTTTATTAAGCATATGAATGAACATTCTACTAATATATACGAGTTTCCAAGAATAGGGGTAATATAAGATATCACTAATTTATATGAAATAGCAGAAAACACCCCCAAAATGCTTTTATATACTTAGGAGTAATACAGAAAATTTTTGTGACTGTGAATATTATTTCTACTTATAGAATTGATCTGAACTGCCAGTTACTGTCTTATTCGGGAACTATTAAGGGATCAAATGAGAACATTGAGGAGGTGATGGGTGCAGGGCTTGATACACAGGAGGCTCTTGGGGGAAACTGATGGTTTTTGGTGCAGAGAAAGTTGGGACCACCTGAAGTAACTTCTGCATCAAGGATTCATTCACCTACATTGGTACTTTGCCATTTGTAAGTGATCGCTTTCCTAGTATTTATGTGAAGAATCCCTTATTAAGAAATAAGAGATTGTAGAGATGGATCAGCAACCCTATATTCATAAAAATGCCAGCTGGTGCAGCAGCTGGCTAATAATCCTAACCTTTGGTGAGCAGAGACAGGAAATCCCCAGAGCAAACTAAGACTCCCCCTAAGGGTGATATCCACGTTCAGTGATAAGACCATCTCAGTAAATAAATGGACAGCAACTGAAGGGGGCTCTGGGCCCCCAACATACACCAGTACTATTCACAAACATGTGCCCTCAATGCATGTGAACACACACACACACACACACACACACACACACACACACACACACCATGGGCTAAGGGAGCAACAGATATTCTGCTTCCAGAGGTTACATACACTGGTGGGGTGGAATATAATGATTGTTGTTAGTACAACTAACTAGTAGTGGTTTTATAATTGTGGATACATGAATCGTGGATAAGAAACTAAATCCTGAACCAAATGTATAAACACAGTAAAACAAACAAACAAAAAACAAAACCCTAACTCTTAAAGTTAGAAGGCAAAAGACAAACTAAGAAAGTTATTCACAGCATGTAGGAAGGAAAAAGAATACTCAAAAATGTGTTATAAAATAATGAGGAATATATAAACAATAATTTTAAAAAGTTAAGAATGTGAAAAGGGACTAATTATAAAGACTGAGAAATATATAAGAACATGTTTTTTTCAGGAGGAAGGACCTCCCAACCACTAGGAATGAGAATCAGAACTACTGAATTTTGGTTGACAGTTGACATTAAAAACAAAACAAACAACAACAGCAAAAAAAGACACAAACAAACAATAAAAAAAAAACCAACCTTAATTACATTGTTTTTTGAGGCAGTGTATTTCCATGCAGCCCTGGCTGGTCTGGAACTCTAGTAGACAGGCTGATCTCAAACTCAGAGATCCACCTGCCTCTGCCTCCTGTATGCTGGGATTAAAGGCATGTGCCACCATACTCCATCCTAATATGCTTTCAAACATTTCCTTTCTGAGAATCTATTCTAAGGAGGTACGTAGACAAACAAACAAACAAGATATTTATCTAGGGATCAGTAACAGCAGAAAAATACTTAGAAGTATTAGAAGTCATGAACAGATTTGCAATAGATTTTTGAATGAAAATGTAAGACTGCATACTTTTGTATGAAAACGTGTGTGTGTGTGTGTGTGTGTGTGTGTGTGTGTGTGTGTGTGTGTGTGTGTTTGTGTGTGTGTGTATAAGCCCCCAGATATCTGAAAGTCCCCCAACTGGTCAGTGATTTTCTTTGAGTGCAGGGATGTGTTTATACATTTGCTTTCTCCTTATTATTGAACAGTTTGGATTGTATACAAGGACCATTTCCAACACTGCTGAGATCCTTGTTCATGTCGCTGCCCTGCCTTGAACCTCTCTTACTTCCACTCTCTGTTCTGACGTGCACCCTAGAAAGGTCTTTGTTTATCACCCTCCTTGGAATGGAAGCACCGCCACTCTCCTCCATACCTCAGCCCCTTTCCCTGCCTTAGTTGGTGTACTTAACACCAACTAATATATTTCCATTTTATTTGTTTATTTATTTGTTGTATGACTTCCTCACCTGCACTAGAGAGTAACCTCACAAGGGCCCAGTGCTGAGAACAGAGTCAATGATCATGCATTTAATAAGTAAGTGATGAATTGGTAAATGAAATAACGTCCATTCTAAGCTGAACATTGTAGTTGGAGTTTTCTCCAGTCCTGCTCGGATCGCATCCACTCAGACCCAAGTAAACACACAGAGACTTATATTATTTATAAACTGTATGGACGTGGCAGGCTTCTTGCTATCTATTCTTATATCTTAAATTAACCCATTTTTATTAATCTATAAATTGCCACATGGCTTCTCATGGTGGGCGGCAGCTGGCAGCATCTCCTGACTCAGCCTTCCTCCTCCCAGAATTCTCCTCTCTGCTTATCCTGCTTATACTGTACTTCCTGCCTGGCTACTGGCCAATCAGCATTTTATTTATCAATCAATCATAGCAACACATTCACAGCATACAGAAAGACACCCCCAGCAGAACATCCTACAAAATAATTCCCAGAAAAGACCTTAAGGGGAGAAGAATTATTCACTTAAAGACACTTGGAGTTTTGTTTAGGTCTACCTCTACCAAAAGAGAAAATTTTTAGTAACATTCAGGTTAATTTTTATGTTAAATTTTACTTAGCTAAGTAGTTATGAGTTTAACTCGGCTCTGGTGGTGGGGCTTACATCCATTTTTCTCTTTTGAATCTGTGATCATCACTGAATTAAATATCTTGTACCCAAGACTGCTGAAAGCCCATTCCTCCAATGTGTTACCTATTTCAGGGAAAATTCAAGGAAGAACACAGAAATTTCACGGTGGAAAAAAAAAACCCTGAATTTCCTTCTTATCAGTTTGTGAATATTGTTTCCTCTGGTAAATAGGGAGACAGCACTTCCCCTCCTCGATACCCAAATTAGGACACGATGAATTCTCTGAATTTAGGGCTAGAAACCCTTAGAAAGATACACCCACTACCCTAACGATATCCGGTGCTTAGACTTCATAGTGCTGCTGTATCTGTTTAGAATATGAGAGAAAATACTAGGAAAAGAAGAGCAATCTCCAACTTGGATTCACCTGTTTGTTTCTCAGCGGCTGGACCACTTCTTTGACGCACAGCTCCAGATCCGTGACGTAATCCCTCTCCGTCTGTATCAGTTCCCCGATGATTTTCGCCCGCTTTGCCGACATCCTTTTCATCTGTTGCTCTTCCTCAGGGGTTTGGGTCTCAGCTGAGGAGCACTCAGTCTGTGGCGTCATCTTTTCTGTTAAACAACATGTTCAAGTGAGATGATCTGCCGAGGTTTCTTTTTCCTCCAAAACATACATACAGCGCAGGGTTGTTGTTAGGCAAGCAAAAGGCTTAGCGATCTTTACTGTGGATCCTGGGAAGTCCTATGTTAGTTCCCCACTAGATAGGCATCCTATAAAATCATAAACAAGATGAAGACAAGAGAGAACTGCTTCTACAATGTTATGAAATGCTCTTCAAATGTCATGGCTTCTGACACATCCTGTTGCTAGAATCTCAGTCTACAAAGTTTACCTTCAGTTTGGAGATAGAATGTATAAAAACTCAACTCAGAACTTCTGAACATGTCTGCTTTTGAAAATGAGGAACATTTTAATTAAGAAGCAAAATGCCTCCCCATTCTTTTTGTCCATATTACTAAAACTAAAAAGTCAGTAATACTCAATGGAATGAAAATTAATTGAATGTGATTGGTTTTTTTTTTCTTTTCATTCATAATCAGAACCCATGAACAGTGAGACAGTGGGGGATTAAAAAATTTCAATTTTTTAATTGAATTTCAACTACAATTTCTCATGGATTATCTTTGATATTGTGTAAATCTTGTTATTTCTTAATTATTGGACCAAACTGTTTTTTTTTTTTTGAAGTCATGGTATTGAGAGGTTGAAATAAATGGTATGTCTCATATGCTGCCAAGTATTTGTATGGGGTATTAAGGCAAGAAAGTTAAAATCATCAAGGAACACTTCTCACAACAATGTGAAACTCTGGAAGCTACAAACTAACTGTCCAACATAAGTTCAGACCAGGACTGAAATCAAGAGAGAGACCAGGGTTCTCTCTCTCTCTCTCTCTCTCTCTCTCTCTCTCTCTCTCTCTCTCTCTCTCTCTCTCTCATGCGTGTGTGTATGTGTATCCACATAATTTTATTTCATTTAAGATTAATATTATTCTTGTAACTGATATGTGAGAAATCTTCAATGTTAATAAAATAAACTTTGCGCCGGGTGGTGGTGGCGCACGCCTTTAATCCCAGCACTCGGGAGGCAGAG